GGGGGCGACGAAAAAGGAAGAGACGGGGGCGGGGGGTTGGTTGCGCGAAGGGGTATGGGGTGGGTCGGCTAGTGGGGTCTCGATTTGGTGTGTGGTCTTCCGGAGGAGTGCATGGACACTAATAACCATATCGGGCACTCATCGTTCGAACCGTGCTGAAGCCGCAGGTACTACAGGGTTTACCAGCGCCAAATACAACCGGCACCATCGACAACACCCATGTGCCCGGCTCTCACCTTTCCGCCGATGACGGAGCCTTCCTCCGGGAGCTCTCCAGGCGGCTATACAAACGGGAGTCACAAAACACGAGAACAGAGCAGAAAACACAGCAAGTCAAACACCAGGTATGCGTAAACAATGGGTTTCCACAAAGCAGAGGTCTTCCGGGGGCGGGGGCGCACGAATGGCATCACTGAGTGCGAGCGAAGGGGGAGCAGCCGAGACATTCCAGCACAGCGCTTTTTTACGACAAACTACGAAGGTCATGGGTCTACAAAACACTCACGGAAAAATGTCTGAAACGGACGCAAGCAACCACGCCGACGAGACGAACCCCCTTCCAAACCAAACACCTCTCACGATCGATGGTATATCCCCGAAATAAATGTATATTCGACCCCCTTCCCTTCCGTTCCCCTACCAAGATGTTCTCTTCGGGGGCTTGCGGTCCCTTGTGGATGCAGCACGCCAGGGCCCCCAGGCACATGAGCACCATGAAACCCGCACCGACGACTGCCCACATGGAGAGGTTGAGAGAGAAAACACAGCCAAGGAGGACGGAACGCCACGAGCAAAAGTCACCGGTGCACGAAAAGGGTAGTCGAAATGCAGGTGCGTCTCTCTGTTCCACAGCTTGTCGGGGTCGACGCCAAGGCCGCTGACGACATCAGCATCAGGACACACACGCAAACCCCACCAGTGTCATCTATCCCTACGAACAATTTTCGTCATTGGAAAAACGACCTTGGAAGCAAGCTGTCCATCAAAATTGTTAGCGAAGGCGTTGGGGAGTGTACCGATGACTGCAACGAACGGGCAATACGCACCTGCCGCTTCCGCCTCTGCGGAGATTTTCAAGAGCCTAGTATTTTAGAAAAGACAATGAAAGAAAGAAACTGGGCGTTGCTTGAATGAAACTGACAAAACACACAGAATAATAAGTGGTTCGAACGAACGAAAACAAGGTTGCTGGCCGATGAGAAGCGCGACATCCCTTTCCAACAGAGCCCGATATTTCACGAGACGGAAAAAAATGCTCAAACAAAATACGGAAGAGAACAATCAAAAGGAGAGGTGAGTTCATGAAAAAGAAAGTGACTACCGATGAGAAATCATGACACGGCCATGTTAGCAAAGAGCCGAGAACCATAGTAAACAAGAACAGCGACGTACTGCTCGAAAGAAAAAAGCGTACGACAAAAGAAGACAGGAAAGAGACGGAGCTTCGACAACATTGAAGAAAGAACCGTTTGCTCGTTTGCTGTTTGCTGTTTGCTTACCGATGAGCAGGACGACAACAGTCCTGTTCGAAAGGCCGTCATCGCTGTCGTCCTCCACGACCTCCGGCGTATCGCAAACGACTTCTACTGTTGTCTCGGTAGTCACGTCCCCGTCCGATTCCACCCTACTCGCGCGAAAACAAGAAATAATGCAGAGGGACGACCAACCGTGATTCCGCTTCCACGTATCGCCAAACTTTTCGCTCATTGTCTTGGCGCCTGCTCCCGACCGAACCAGCAAGGATTCCGGAATGCATACACCCTGTGTTGTTCTCGAAAGAGTTCCGAGTTGCTATTGTGGTATTGAGCTACCAGACAGACGGGAGAGAGGTCGCTACTCAGTATAGTGCCAGCCAAAAACACGTCCGTTTCAAACAGATCGTGAAACAAACCACTGCGCTGAAGGTGTCACATGATAATTGATCATTCTTCAGTAAAGCACAAACGCTGCCTCACTTCGCAACGCGGAAATGACGGGGGGAAAGCCCCCCTACAGTTGACGTTTGATCCACGAACCCCCTCTTCTTCAAGACGGAGCAGGTACGTGTGCCTGTGGGCGGGCCCGGCCGGGGAATTTCGCCAGGGGTGCGCCGACAACAACGATTCGGCGTTGCGTGTGTCTCGCAGCATGCCGTTCTGCCCTCAAGCCGATACAACTTGCACGCTGTTTTCGCAACGTGATGCGCGCGCGCCTTGTATGGGGATGTCCTTACCTGACCCACGTCGACGTGAGCTCGGCAGGGTTTGTCTGGCATTGCGGACTATCCGACGCCTGTCAATGGAAAGAGGCACGTGGGGGCGGGGGGGGGGGAGGGGGGAGGGCGGGNGGGGGGGGGGGGGGGGGGGGGGGGGGGGGGGGGGGGGGGGGGGGATACAACATTAAATGGAGGCGTGCTTTCCGCATCCCATTTGTTCTGGACGATTGTTGAAAACACTTATCATTACGTTTGGAAGCGCAACCCGGGGTACACAGAATGGACGAGGAACTCTCACCCCCTCCTCGTCTTGCTCGCTGTCTACGGCGGTACGATATTCCTTTCGTCGCGAGAAACTACTCACCCGCCCCTTTCCCTCGTACACAGACGACTCGATTTTCGTGCGCCTCGCCCGCAACAATAAAAAAAACTTTCGCTTGCAACCGAATGGTCGATATGAGCGCAGTAGAGATCGCAACATCGACTGCCCTTTGAATTCAGTCTTGGACAGAAAACACACAACACAAGGAGACCAAGAAGCGTGCAACATGAGCCAAACGGGGATGAGCGTACAGCAGCGCGAGGCTGGTCGATTCAAGATCACGGCGTAACACTCGATCGTTCCTGCAAGGAAGACATCTCTCCTAGAGAGCACCTGACTTCGTTGGTTGCACACGAAAGTCCAATCAACCAGAACGCCGACAGACAAAAATCAGCAGAAAAGACGATCAGGATGATAGAGCGCGGATACATTTGACGGCCATCGACGAACAGAGCTTATGTTTTCTCCTTTGTTGTTTGCCTATACTAATTGTATACCTCACCTCGTACCACACAGTGTCCGTGAAACTGTCGCCCAGGGGGTACGAGGAAAGAACCCAAAGGCCGTTACAGTCCTCAATGCCAGCAGCTGGCGTCTCCGATGTCCACTCGGTGGGAACTGTGGGGGAGTACCTGCATGTTGTTGTTGTTGTCGCTGGTGACATTTTCCCGCTGAAAGACATGAATGCTGACATATTTCCGCGTGGTGGATGCTTGAGGTTTGCACAGGACAAAAACAAGCCGATAGAATAGAGAGCACAAAGATGGCCTTAGAGCAGCAGCAGACATATCCATGCCTTGTCGATGTACAACTAACTTAACTACAACGTTATCGAATCGATGTCCCCCCAGATCTGATAGCTGTCACGTTCTCCTCCCGCTCTTAGAGCTGAGATATGTGTGAGGCGGAAAGCTTTGATGTGGTGCGCGTCTAGAGCTTGGTCTCCGGGGGCGCTCGCTTTGCGGAAAAATCACACCAACTCCCCCAATCGCAGATCCACCCAGAGCTCCCAGGTTGGGCACTCTTCTTTCTCTGGAAGGCAGGCTGTTCAGGAACAGCGGATGCCCAAGTTCATCCTGCGAGCTTTCTCTCTCTCTCCCTTTCTCGCCCCCCCCCCCCCCC